ATAAATTCTGAAGGTGCCTAAACTATCTGGATATTGTGTATTAATACTAACATAAGGTTAAGAAGACCTGATGAGCAAGAACTGGCAAGTATATAGAGGCCTTGGAGATACACATACACTCCAGAGGGTGGGAGATAAACCCTATAAAAATTCAAGCACTTGACACATTGATGAAGTTTTTAGGGGTACAATGGTATGAGGCATGACAGGACATCCTCTCCTAAGTAAAGCACAAACTAATGCACCTTACATCTTCTATCACAACTAAGGAAGCATAATACTTGGTAGATCTCTTCAGGTTTTGAAGGGAGCATATTCCACACTTGGGGAGACTGACCTGACCCATTTATCAGGTGATACAAAGGCTGTTTTTTGAGGAGGGCCCAGAGAAAGAAAGGGCTCTATAGCAGGTTCAGGATGGGGTGTAAGAAATACTACTACTTGGGCCAAATGGCCTGGAAGTTCCATACTAGAAGAGTCTCTGGAAGAGAAAAATGTCCTTTGGAGATTCTGGCAAGGCTCAATGGGAAAGTTACATTACAGACCCTTAAGATTCTGGAACAAGGCCATGCTATATGCAGCAGAAAACTATGCTATTTGCAAAACACCTCCTATCATGCTACTGAGCCCTAAGGGACAGAGCATGTAAGCAAGCAGACAGGATGACTTGATCAGCAGATGTCATCCAGCCTCTGTCTTGCCACCTGGTAAAAATTATGCATGGGCTCAATAACATGGTCTCCCTTTCACCAAGGGTAATCTAGCTACTGTTGCTGTTGAATGTCTGACCTGCTTACAGTAAAGACCAAAGCTGAGCTCCTAAAATGACACCATCCTTCAAGGAGACCAACCAGCCTCTTGGTGGCAATTTGATGACATGACACCCTTTACACTGTGGAAAGGGAGGTGTTTTATCCTGACCAGGACTGATGTAGATTCTAAGTATGGGTTTGCCTTTCCTGCCTGTGGGGACTTCGCTAGCATTATTATCTGAGAGTTCACAGAGTAACTAATCTACTGACATGGGACCCTGCTTAATAGTAAAGAATTCTACTTTACAGCAAAGGAAGTATGGGAGTGGGTTCCTGGTATCCATTGGTCCCACCACATACAGCACCATCCAGAAGATGCTAGTCTGATAGAGCTTTGGGATAGCCTCTTGAAGGCACAGCTGAGGCACCAGTTTGGGGATGATATCCTGTGAGGATGTGGTGGCATTCTTCAGGACGTTGTATATACTTCAAACCAATGGCTGTTACATGGTGCTGTGTTTCCAACAGGTGGAATACATAGTCTGGGAAAAAAGGGAAGAAGCAGGAATGCATCCACTCT